CTTAAAATTTCTTAAGGCAAGAACTATGAGACCAGCTGTTGCTTTCCAACGGTAAAATGGATTAGAAATGATCCGCAGTAGTTTAAAACTGGAGTAGTTAATCATTCAGTGTGTGTCTCACAACTGCATGCTACTGGATATTGACTCAGCCCTACACAGCTGTAAACTATAGGTCTTATATTGCTAACACCAAATGCATGGCCTACATTTTTTAAGCAGGAGGTTCTGTTTCAATAGTCATCGTGACCTTCTAAATGGCCATGTTTTGTGAAGTCCTAGGTTGCAACAGTTTAAAACAGGAAATGAACACAACTCAAACCCAGTTAAAATTGCAGATGTTTGGCAACTGGAAGAGTTTGGCTACATCAGAGCTAGTACGCCTGTCTTGAAGGTTCCAGAGGATTTTCAAGGGCCAAGAGTGGTTAGGCCGGGTGTTATTTTTTTTTATAGGAATAATCACAGCTCCAGCAACACCATGCCTTTCATTATCACACAGCGGCAGTGATCAGGACTGACTCATATGAAGAACTCATCAAAACCTCTTCAGCATCCTGGATTTCCTGTGGCCGTTTCCCATTAGAGGAATGGAAAGGCCCAATCAACCCTTAAGACTAGAGTGGGAGCTATATGGCATGGCAGAATCCATTCAAAATTGTTTTAGATGAGTATTTCTTAGATCAATAAGCATCATTACAAAAGCTCTTTAAGCACTTTTCCATCAGTGACACAAAAGATTTTGTATGAATGGATTTACAGCTGACAAAATATGAATTCAAGAGCAAATCTTGGAAACCAGAAGAACGGGTCTGGAAGGAGAGGATTTCTATTTGTTTCTGGATTTTGAATGACAACCTAATATCTGGGTGCCCAATGAAATATGCTACTCATTGATTTTCTGCAGTTATTCTAAGGTACAAAATTTCCCTCCTTCCCCCAAAAAAACCACACAAAATATTTATTGCATGGATTAAAAAGTAAGCCATTTAACTTCTTCCCGTCTCTGCAAGCTGAGAGAACAGTACTGACAGCAAAGGACCAGTGTGGAACTAAATTCATGAAAGACTAGCTTTGGATGGATGGCCCTATAGAAGAGAAATAATTAAAACACATAACCAAGATGCTGCCCACAGACTGCCTGAAAAAAAATTTAGGGCTAAAAAGGGCTAATTCTGTGGTTTTCCCTGGTGCTCCTCCATGACCTTACAAATTTTGGTTTGAGGGATGATATATTGCTAGCCAGTCTACAGAAGTTGCTAAGTATTTCACAAAGCAATAATACAATGAAATGCTGTGTCATTTATTAAACCCATCCTTACAGCATTGAACTTATCTGAACTGGTCTCAATTTTCTTTAATCAATAGACTGATATTCTGCAATTTTGTCTAATTTACTTGGGACGAAAATTTCCAAGTGACAGTCTCCTGAAAAAAAATCCACCTTTGTTTGTAGATCACTATATGACTCTCTGAAAAAAGTTACCTTTCAGTGTGTACTTTTAGTGTGCTCTAAGTGCTTATACTTACACCAAGATTTTTAATTGAAGGATTCAGGCTTCTGTTGTTGAAAATGTTGACCTTTTTATGCATTCAAGCCATTTTCCCCCTCTCTAAGGCTAAGAACATCACTAAATAACTGTATCACTTAGCTCTGATACATTTGACATCAGTTACAGATAGAAATCAAGGACATACACACTGTTCAAAAACAAAAAAGCTAACAAAAAATAAAAAACTGGTTATGTGATGTCAGATGTTGTTACATGCTTTTCATGGGTTTAAGTAACTCACCACATTGGTTTCATCAACAATTGCATGTGCAATATCCTTTGTGCAAATTAAATCTTAAAAAATATGAAAACAGCAGCTTTTTTCATAACAAATATTGCAATACTTCTTTTTACACCTGAGATTAATCATAGAATACTAGGACAGGAAGGGACCTTTCCTTCCTAAGTGGAGCACTTTGCATTTAACTTCATCCTATTTACCTTGGACCATTTCTCCAATTTGTCCAGGTCATTTTGAATTCTGACCCCGTCCTCCAAAGCAGGTGCAACCCCTCCCAGGTTGGTATCATCTGCAAACTTAATAAGCGTACTTTCTATGCCAATATCTAAATCGTTGATGAAGATATTCAACAGAGCAGGTCCCAAAACATACCTCCCCCCCTTAATCATGACTGTTCTTGGAAAAAACACACTTCTAGTGCATCTCTCATTTTAGCTTAGCAAAAAAATGATGAAGGGGAGGACATGAATATGCAGAATCATAGTGACTACTGTACTTCTCTTACATTGTGCTTGTAATAAGAGTTCCTCTTTCACAATTGTCTTATCACAATATTTTCAAAAACATTTTCACTTGACGCAATCCCAAGTAAACCCAGCTAAAGAACTCCAAATTCTTTTGCAAAAGACTGATTTAGAGGGCCGTTTTTGTGAAAAGACTTTGAAGAGTCTCTTACAAGCAGCCATAACCTGGATTTTATATAATCTACATTTACTAGAGACAGACTCTATACACATACAAAAAATGTCATGAGCTAGTTATTTAAAGTTCTAGGAATCACCACTATCATCAGAAGAAAGGAATATAAACTTACGTCTGTTTAATGGTTCAACTTCTGCTTGGTTTCAGTTTTATTTGACATAGGAAAAACTCAGTGCAAGTGCATGTTAGTTAAAAGTATGATTACAAAATATTTTAAGTGCTGGCAGGGCCGGCCCACAACATTTTGGCACCTGAGGCGGGGAGCTCAAATGACGCCCCCAGTCCTCCTTGCTTGGGCCAAAACTTTGAAAGGTCTCGTGCCCTCCTTCCTCCAGCACAGCACTCCGCCATCTCTGTGCATCTAGAGCAGAGAGAACACATATGCACCGGCAGCAGACACAATTTTCTACGCTCTGGGTCCTAGTAGCACACCCGGGGGCTGGTATAATGGTCTAGTCCTACACCATCGACATCAATGGGAACAACAGATTTCAAAAGGGAGGACAGGCAGGGACGTACTGTGCAAAAAGTTATATATGTAATTAACGTTATAATGGATGGATTACTGTGGCTGTTGTAGGCTCTTATGTTTAAGACTGTGAAGAGTCTCATTGCTTTGCTGGATCAGGTTTTATGTGAAATAATAAGATTATTATCTCACTGCATGCCCTGTTCTAATAACTCCATAATAGGATGGCTGGTGTCAGCATAGGAAATGTTGTAACTCTAGAACTCATGATCCAGCTTTTTTTTTTAATGTCACTATAGTTTTTGTAGCATTATAACAAGGTGAAATCTTAAAAACTATGAATATTTTGTGTCATCAAATTTGGAAGTCTTGTCACATATAGAGGTCACATTTGCTGGTGTTCATGATTCAACAATTGATCTTTGTTCAAAATTTGCAAAATTCTCCATCAAACAATACCATTCACTGCTCTTCTCTAGGAGCAATGGCTTTGGGGCAGTTTGTCTGGTATACAAACCTACTGGTTGGGCAAGTCCGGTTCCATGGGAATCCTGCTTGGTTCCTGGTGGAATTTCATCAAAATCAAAATGTCTTCCAAGTTGCGTTAGATCTCTTCCTATCAGCTCTAACCAACAGCTCCATAGCAAGTTACACACATCCGAACCGCTCACCATTTATAACAAACTATCTGTAGGGATTGTAAAATGCTCTCGCCTCTGAGATGGGGGACTCCAGCAGTTGGAACAGTGCATAGCAATTCCTCCCAACAATTCAACACAAAGTGAAGAATCCAGCTGAAGCAAGAGTGCAAACTTAGGCAGAACGTGGTTATGCAAAGTAGAATTTGGCCAAATCACGGGGAGCATCTTTACCTCATTCTTAAAATATTACAGGATTAACAGTCAAGACTTCCTTTTATAATATCCAAAATAAGTTTTCATCCAGTTTCACTGAATATAATTATATGACTAAAGATCTGTGACACTTGCAGCTAAGGAAATACAATTTTTACTTTTTAATGTTTAAATAGAGGAAGTATGTTAAAGACGGAGAATCACATTTGAACATATAATGTATGCTCACCGTGTTAAGTCACTTGCAATCTCTCCTATTGCAACATCAGTTAATTTTCTCACTATCGGGGAGACGTAAATGAAATTCTGAGACAGGCAATCAACATTTTCTCAAAATTAAGTGTAAAATGTTAATGTTCCTCATCGAATAAGTGTGGACACAAAGGCCTGTTTAACTTCCATGAAAACATAAGGTACGGAACTCCTCTTCAGATAAGCGCTGAAAGAAGAGATTCTGAAAGCTGAAGCTATGATTATCACTTTCCCACTACTCCATTGTGGCTGTGGTTACCAAAGCCTTTTTTTGTTATTAACAACTTTAACTGTCATGCACAGGAGCTCAATCCTGGACCAGAACCCCATTATGTACAATGCACAGTTAATTGCCTTTTGATGAAAAGGCCAAATAGCACAAAAGGGCTGACCAAATACTATGTTAATAGGTGAGCTATGAACACCTTAGAACTATGAAAAAGGCAGACTGGTCAGTTCCTTCAACAAAAAGAAAAAGCAGCGCAATCACAGAGAAGTTGGATGGAAAGCAACTGTCCTGCCTGTGCCAGAAAAAGAGAAAGTGAAAAACTCTAGGCAGCTTAAGGAAATGCTACAGAAATTGCCTGGAACATAAGGCCTAAAAATTAAAACAGCCACTTCATTTCAAAAACGTGAAAGGAAAACAGAGGATAAAATACACTTTTTCCTTCAATTTGCTTTGTTAATGCAAAATTCATTTGACTGAGGAGTTATGAGGTATTTAAAATAATACTTTTATTGTAAGTACCCACTGCACCTCTGAAAGGCGGGAGTCAGTACTTAAATCCTCAAAATAGGATCTTCTAGTGTCCTCTGAACTGGGGTGACTTTTATCCTGCTAAACAGCACTATTTTCTAATAGAAAATGCATAGTAACTATACGTTAAGAGTTTCCACTACGGACATTTACATTCAAAGAAAAACAACCCCACAACTTTAAACCAACTTTGTGACTTTTATTGATGGGCGACAACTTTATACTCCTAGATATCACTAAACTGTGTACAATTAGGAACTCAACATTATAGGAGAGCAGACAGCAAAATTAAACAAAGCAGACTTAAAGAAATATCAATCTTCATTATTTTGCCCATTTTTTAAAATCTCATGTACACAGAAGCATAAATGCAGTTTGAAATCTCTTAATAGCAATAAAGTTACAATCACCCATCTATATAGACTAACATTTTAACTCCAAATATTTGATCTGCAATGTGTACTTAAGCAGTTTCTCATCGCACAATTATTAAAATGTGTTGTTTTCCTATTAGGAACCAGCAACTCTGCATTTTGTACTTTTGTACATTGTTTTAAAGCACATAGAACCATTGTCTCCTGATACACATTGGCTCATGTTTTGCCATTTATCAAAAACTGCAGGGGGAGCAAAGAGTGGGTTTTTTTTTTTAATTTTTTTTATTTAAGTAAAGATAAAACTTATTTTCACAGAAATCTACAAGTTTTGTTGCTGGTGCAGGGTTTTCTTTTACTATGCAATTAGAAAGTGGGAATCAAATGCAAACCCCCTTTATCATCTTAGGATTCAGCATTAACTCATTTTTATCTTTTTGTGATTCGTGAGACTGTCTTTCAGCTAAATGACTTCATTCTGAAAAGTCAAAAGTCAACACACAAACTATGTTGTGCACGACCCCCAAGGTAGTTTCCTTTTTCACTCTATCCCATAGTTGCAAGGGAAAAAAAGGATTCACTCAAAAGAGCATTTAAAGGAGGAAAAAAGTTAGTGATAGTTGGCATTCTACAAAGCAGGTATCTTGCACACACAGCATAAAGAGGGAAGTTTCACAGCAGGTCAACTCGGCGATAGTACAGGAGGTAGGCTGTGCGTTCAGCAGACGGCTTCACCACCTGATACTGATTTATCACTTTGACAGCCTGGTCATCAATGCGTAACCAGCCATTAAGACCAATTTGGAAGACATCTGTAGTGTAGTGGCCACCAGTCGCACTATTTCCATGATGATAGACAACTGCAAAGAAATAAGTCAATGTTTATATTTTAAATGGTATTAAAACATGAGTACACATTTACTAAGATTCTTCTTTAAGTTCATAATTCAAACAAACTTTCCAACTCCTATGAGATCAAGAACACAATTTGTAAAGGGTTCAATACTTACACAAGAAATAAATCACAACTACATGTTGAGAGGTATGTTTAAGTTATGCTTACACAAAGGTCACTACTAAAGCCTTTACAAATGCCTTCGCAAATATACCGGCATTATCTGTATGACGGCAGGTACTGTCTATTTGCAAAGAAAAAAAAACCCTATTTTGATACTGGTGATGTTTCACTGGAAGCATACAAACTCAAGATTCTAAAGAAGTGAAAAATAATATCCTTCAGATCAAGTGGCACAAAGGTCTTATAAATATTATTCATTTACTACAGGACGTTCAGGGAAGCATTTACTTCACAAGAAAAGACCAATAGAATTGATAGAACATCTTTCTGCAACCATTAAACAAAGCTTCCAAAAATTCTTTAGCACTGACAAACTTAGTAAATTGATTAGAACAAAAATAACTGCTTGAAATCACCAACATTGTTGACATTTGTCATTTTAAGTCAAAAGGATCTTAACTATTCACTCAGATTGAAGTAGGCACTGTATCAAACACTCCGGTGACATAAACCAGAAGCCTCTGAATCAACCTTCACAAATATCTAATAAAAACTTGTCTTCAAACACAAAAAGAAATCATGAAACTTTACAGTATCAGAACTTTCTGTTCAAAAGAGTTTCTATTACAAACATAAGATACCCCCGTTTAACCCATTTCATTTTGCCTAATGTGTGGTTCCACATTGCAAAATTGATTCCATCAGAATCACAGAACACTAGAACTGGAAGGGACCTTGAGATCATCAAGTCCAGTCTTCTGTCCTCACAGTAGAACCAAACACCATCTAGATTGGGGTGGGAAATAATTTGACAGAGGGCCACTCCCAAGATTTTGTAAAGTGGTTGAGGGCTGCACTCTTCCAGGATATTAATGGAGCAATTTCAGAGTCTAGGATGGAGGTTGGATGCAGAAGGGAGCTCGAGGGAAGGGATTGCTGTGCAGGAGGGAGAATAGGGTCTGGGAGGGAGTTTGGGTGAAGGAGGTAGTTGTGACCTAGGGCAGGGAACTGGGGTACAGGGTTTTGGGATGTGACCTAGGGTTGGAGGGGACTGATCTGGGGCAGGAGATTGGGGTGCCTATGAGTGCAGGAGGGGGGGAAGGAGGAGAGAGGGTTGGGGAAGGGACGGGCTGGGGTGCCAGAAGCAGGCTTTGGCTGGGAGGCGCTTATCAGCAGAAATCTGAGGCTGGAGTGTCTGCTGCAGGCTGCTCACTGCTCCACATGGCTCCACTCTGGCTATGACAGGGAAGGGGAGGGGAACAGAAGGGAGGGGGAAGGCTTCCTACACTGTCCATACTCCCAGCAAAAATTCTCTGCTCCCACTGACCAGGAATTGAGAGATTTGCTGAAGGGGGGCGGGAACAGCATGAGCCATCTCACTTCTCGCTCCCCAGGAGTCTGGAATGGAGAACAGCAGGCCTTTTAAAACGTGAACTGATCTCTGCCTAAGGGTTCCAGTGAGGCTGTTGCAGGCCGGATCTGGCCCACTGGTAGCTTCTTGCTCACTCCGATCTAGATCATCTAGGTCAAGGATTGGCAACCTATGGCTCAAGCCAAATATGGTTCTTCTGGAGCCCCAACTCAGCCCACCTTATGGTCCCCTGCAAGACTGGAACACCAGCGCTGGCTTCCTGTGGGTGGAGGGAGGGCACGGAGGAGGAGAAAGCCTCAAGCCTCCCCCCAGATGCAGTGTGCGGGGGAAATACGTTGCCTTTTTCCTTCCCCCGGTGGATGGGGAAGAAGCAAAATGAAAAATGGTTCAGCATGCGCTGCCATTATCCTTCCCCAAAACACATTTCTTGGAGGCTTCTCCTGTGAATTCTTCCTGGGAGTAGCAGGAAGCCATGTTACATGGTGCCTGCGATGCAGCATGAAAACAAGTGTCTCTCCACCTCCTCATGCTCAAACCCTGCACACACCCCTCCCCCGAGCAGACAGCCTGCCCCCAAGCCCCTTCCTGCACCCTGGCTAAATACCCTATGCCCTGGCCAGAAAGCCTGTCTCCAGCCCACTTCTGCCCCCTGCCCAGACAGCCTGCCCCCTAGCTGCTGATGCCCCCTGCATCCTGGCCAGACAACCTGCCCCCAGCCTGCTCCTGTCTGACCTCCCTTGTTCCTGCCCCTTTCCCCTGGCCAGACACCCTACCCTCACCCTGCTCCTTCACCCTACCTCCCACCCAACCTTGCACCCCAAACCCTATCCCATTACCAAGACAGGGCTGCCACACTCCTCATTTTTTGCCCACCCCAGAGCCTAGATGCCGCACAAAATTCACTAATACTGGAACAGACACCGAGTAAATCTGTCCTGAGGCCTTGAACCTCTGTCTTCCCTTCCCCCACCTCTCTCCACAGGGCTAGAGCTCCAGGGGAGTGAGGTGTTTTGCTGGGGGGGCGGGGGGCGGGAGGGTTTGAGTGGTTTTTTTTGTTTGTTTGTCACTTGTATGGTCCCTGACTGATTTTTCTGTGGCCACAACCCAAAAAAGGTTCCCCACTCCTGCCATAAATTAAGACAATGTTGAAACCTTTTGTGTTGGATATAATGTTTTATTTTATTTAAAAACGAAACCTGGCCAACAAGCTATTACTTTATTTAAAAATGAAACCTGGCCAACAAGCTATCAACTGAGGCCCAGCCCCCATCTGGCTGCAGCATCATAACACTTACACCAACCGTGAGCCCATCATACACCTGAAACCCCTGTCCTGAGCCCCTCGTACCTCCACATCCCCAGTCCCCTGCTGTAACACTCCCCACATCCCCAGATGGAGGCTGTGCGGTGCTTAGATCCGGCCTGCCAGGGGCTGGGCCCAGCAGTTGGAAGCCCCCACAGCACAGGGGCAGCAGATCAAAAAAGGCTGTGCACCACTGGTAGACACACATTCTAAATTAGAGTCTTCATTCGGCCCATGGCATGCCTTGATCTAGCCTGCAAGGTGCAAGGCGAGGCTCCCTCAGCTGCACAAGCTAGTACTGGCACTCCAGCCACTCCCTTCCAGACCCCCACCATCACCCAGCTCCTGAACCCCCACCTCCTGCCCACAGTCCACACTGAGCTCCTCCACCCCATTCCTTCCAGACCCCACATGCCCATCGCAAATCCCCCACCCCATCCCGCTCCTGCACCCTATCTCCCACCCAGACTCCACACCCTACCCCCATCTTGCTCTCCTTGGAAGCACCCTCCTGCACACTGAACCCATCAGTTTTGGCCCCAACCCAGAGCCCTGGGGGCCCTCACCAAATATACTAGCCCCCAGCCCCCAGAAGAGTTAGTTTGGATCTGAGCCTAGATGCCTTCCCTCCATGGGGCTGGAGCTTGAGGGGAGTGTCTTTTTCTTCCTGTTTCTCAGCTGGGGGCCACATCTGTGAGGGATTTTTTTCCCCTCCTTATTTTGGGGCCAGGTCACTGAGGATTTTTCTCTCTTACTTGTATGTGGCACCCAGCTGATTTTTTTGTGGGTCGGTGGCCCCTGGACCCCAAAAAAGGTCTCCACTCCTGTTTTAAATTATTGGTATATTAGTGAATGTCATGCGTGTAAAGTTCTGGACTGACAACAATGGAGACTGAAATGGTGTATGGGGCTACAGAACATTCACAGAAGATGAGGCAGCAAATGCAAATTTCCTATATTGTTTTATCCAGGCTCTCAAACTTGGTCTTGGAAAGCTCACCACACAGGTGAGAACTGTTTCACTATAGTAATTGGTGCTCTCAGTTAAGTCTGCCCGTTTTCATAGTGCCTTCTACAATCTGCTTATACTGTCAATGCAAAACTAAATCTGAACTAACAAGTCACACAAATGCCACCAGAGCCGGAACTAACCAGATGACCTAAAAGAGGAAAAGCTCCAGTCCTCTGAGCCATTCAGCACATTTTTTTCTTCTGATGCGACTACAAATAACCAAATGCAAGTTGTAATAATCTAGGTATACCTTTTAAAAAGTATATCAAGATTAATATTTTGTTACATAATAAAATGCTTCTGAATTTTTACACCAATTTCCATTCTTTAATACTAATATTAATCTTTCATCTAGTTCTTTGATATATGCCTACCATAAAAATGTCATTCTACAACGGACAACTCAATGGCACTTGTATTTCACAAACATTTTGATATTCAAACATTGTCAAAAGTACTCATCTTTAAAGTGTTTAGAATGATGCAATGAACCAACATCAAAGCAGCAATTTTGAAAGAAATTTAAAAGTTACTCTACAAGTTAGTGATGTGTGTCAAATATAGCCATAAAGGTGAAGCAATATCTATTTTATTATTCAATTTGCATATCACTAATAGTAATTTGTCATCACTAACAATTATACTATACAATTTGTATTACCAAATCTTTTGAGTTCATTTATGATACTTAAAACTTAACCTCATTGAAGAAAAATGAATACTGATGTACACCACTTAAAGAGCAGACCTATATGCATCTTAATATTAAGGATGTTCAAAAGTGGGCAACTGACTAATCGTGTAGTTGATACTATTTGTATCAACTACACGATTAGTCTACAAGGGAAGGTGCTCTGTCCTGGCTCATGCTGGGGCCAGAAGCTACCCACGCTGTGGCGCTGCAGTTTAAATGTTGTAGGAGCCAGGCGTGCAAGCACCCTGGCTCCTACTATCTTTAAACTGCAGAGCTGCAGCAGGCATAGAGCTGGGACACAGCCGTCTTGGCTAGTGCTAGGTCCCGGCCTGCTGTGCCTCAGCATTTTAAATGTAGTAAGAGCGGCCTGGCAGCAAGCAGGGGGGAGGGGGGAAGGAAAGACTGGGCGGTGGGGGAGAGCAGGGTGAGTAGTCGACTACTTACTTACATCCCTATTTAATATAAGCTTTCGCTGTTGCATTCTTTCACTGAAAAGCAAATATCTGTATGCCCTGTGCTGGATGGATCTAGTACAGAACGATGGTCCTACGTTACTTAGGCAAAAGCTAAAGCAAGATGACAGTAATGACTTAATATGAATATTCAGTAGTTACGTGTCACTTTTCACTAGAACATATTACTCCTGCAAGTTGCATCATTTTAATTTAAAGTGAGCATTTTATAATTCAAGTCAGCAGTAACCACAGGATTTCTACAACCAGAACTGCTATGTATATTGCAATATATATATAAATTGCTCAATACCTGCAAAGAGCCGGTAGGTTCTTTGGCCTTTAAAAATCTTGCTTTTCACACCTGGAGATAGTAACTCTGAAAAAGCAAAAGTAACACATAACAAGCTAAACACTTTTATGCTAACAGATGTCGATGGATGTTTATTTCCAAGAAAGAATAAAATAGTTTTTCAATTAAAGCTTCCTACATCAAAGAAATGGCTGAAACCTAGGCATGATGACTCCAAAGACACTGGAATTTTTTTTGTGGTGGGAGACAAAGGGGTCAACTTCTAGTTTCTTACTGCCAGAGCACCGGCCTTTGAATATGGTGTTTCAAGAAAGAGTACCATTCAAATCTACCTCAGGGAAACAGAGGAGAGGGGAAAATAGGCTAGGATACCAATTATCTCCCCTGCCACACATCTTGCTGGACTATGAGAGGGACAGACTGTAAACTGCAAAGTGTAAAGAATATAGCAGTTGCCTTTCTTCACCAAAGCAGCCTGCAATACACTATAAAGCATGTATCTTAAAAACAAACTAACAAACACCAAGATCAAATCTTACTACCTGATAAAGTAAATACATCATTTACAATGGCATCCCTACATAATTAGCCTTGCAATTTCAAGGTACAGGTTGAACCTCCAGTCCAGCACCCTCGGGACTAACCAGTGACAAACCAGAAATGTGCTGAACCATGGGAGGTTGATATTATCTAGCAGCTTCCACGGCTTACTGGGCTCTTAAAAGACATGTAGGGGTAAATTAAGAGCTAAATAACAGCACAGAACACAGAGCCAGGACTGGTGGCTGTAAACAAATTTTATGGGACCTCCGGAAACTTAGCCACACCCATGATAAATGGACACATGGCTAACTAAAATCATGCCGGACCACAGATACTGATGGACCAGAGAGTGCTGGATTAGAGAGATTCAGCATGCAAACTGAACGTATTGCAGACAGCATTATACAAATGGTCACTTTGACTGGTTGACTGACCAGTAACATCAGAATAAAAAGATTCAATGCAGTATGGTACACATTATTATGTTTATATATAAAAATCACTCACACTGTAAAAATCAATAGATCTTAAAATTTAAAAATTGACTAAACTTTAAAATGAATTAACACTTGAAATCTGACCTGTTTGACCACTTTGATGTTTTTAGTTTGATTTTAGTTTGGTCTTAAAAAAAAGTTTCTAATTTCTCTTCTCTGGCCCAAACAATGGTTTTTATTACGGTGCTTTGCACCACCTGTTTGGATGGATTTTGAGCTGAAGTATTATTCATTATTTAATTAACAGCAGCCTTGCCTAGGCTACACCAATCAGCTAATGGCACTGTATGAACACATGGTACACGGTCATCCCTGAACTTTGAACAACTTCCATTCTCAGGCCCCAATTCTACACATTGCACTCAGCTGGACACTGGACTTGCATGAGCCTCCACTGAAGTCAACAGAACTGGATAAATGTTCCAGGGTCTGCCTATGTGAAGTTCTTTGAAGAACTGGGGTCTAAATTAAGAAAGAACATGCAGCAAGTTCTGTAAAAAAAAAAAGCCGGAACACATCAGCTCGGAGTATCACTGGACTGGATTCCCCTAATCCACAGCCAGCACAAATGCAAAATAAGGCATGCAAGATTCATAATCTAAATGAAATTTATATGAAGTTTTCACATGTATACCTCCAAACAGGAAAAAAAACCAAAACTTCTCCTAGACTGAGCTTGCCAAAACTCACTATTATCCTTTGGAAATCATAGAAAATTCTGTCAAGTATCAGAGGGGTAGCCATGTTAGTCTGAATCTGCAAAAGCAACGAGGAGTCCTGTGGCACCTTATAGACTAACAGATTTATTGGCATATAAGTTTTTATGGGCAAATTCCCACTTCGTCAGATGCATGTCTTTTCCTCAAAAGAGAAAGAAATAAAGTTCTATTTAAGAGCTTCACCTTTACTAATTTCCAGGTCAACGGGATACTCAATATTCTTGATAAGCTTCTGACATCCACCAGTTTTCTCATACACAAATCTTTTGAGGTGTAATACAAGAACAGGAGGGAGTTCTTCTAGGGTCACCCTTCGACTGATCTCTACCTAATACAGACAACACAAAAAATGCATTACAATTATATCTTAATATTAGAATCAGTAAATCTTGAAGACAGTCTATCTTTTGAAAATCAAAGGAAGGCAACATGACTAAAATGTGTAGAACACAAAGTTTATCTGAAGTATGTCACTTAAAAGTGTCAGTATTGTTTTAGTTTTTGGACAAATATCCCATTGTTTGCACACTGTAAGCCTCCAAAATGCATTGGATTTTTCCAATGAAATATTAGGTTAAGGATGAAATATTACAATTTAATATCATGTTCTTGTGTGGTCCTATTAATGGGAGTTCTTTAATTTAGGGAGTGAATATATATTTATGAAATTTAAAACTGGTGGAAATGAAGGTGTTCAATACTAAGATTTAGATTTTCCCATGAATTTGTCTGACTTTACAGCAGGGGTGTGACTTTTTTGGGTTGGGAGCCACTGACCCCCAGAAAAATCAGTTAGGGGCCACACAAGCGAGAAAAAAACCCTCACTGACACGGCTGCCCACTAAGAAGAAGACAGACACTCCCCACATTGCCCTCGTGCACCAGAGTCCAGAGGTAGATTTTGTGTGCTCCAGCTCCGCAGTGATGCAGCAGGGAGGGGGAGAGGAGGAAGAGGGGGCTGAGCCTTGGGGTAGATCCAGGCAAGCTGGGGGCCACATGAGGACCCCCACCCCTGCTTACAGGATTACTTAACACATTCTGAATTGCTAGATATAATAGTATCAATGAAAGTATACATCACACACAGAGCAGTTGCAATATTATATCACATCATGTAGATTAAGCACGTAAATATCATGACTGATGGATGAAACTTAAGCCACTGATTTGGTAGATGGAGGTTTGCATTGATGAATGTAAGATGGGAACAAAAGTTATTGAAGATTTTTCTGGTGCCTCCTTTATGCTACAAGACACTTACCTGTAAAGTACAAAACACTGACAAGTTATGAAGAACCAGAATTTACAGATGGTTGAGTTCCATCGTGAACATGTTTAACTACTACTGTAGTCGAACTAGGACAAAATATCTGTAAACTCAACACCACCCTAAAAACAAGAGGGCTTTGACTAATATTTTGTCTTCACTCTGAATAAATGTCAATTTGTACTTTATGTGTGTTCAAATCATACTTTTAACACAGTGGTCCTAAAACATTTCAGGGTTGCATTGTCGGTGCCCCACTCCTGGGAGCTAGCCTGCAACTCCTGGGGGGTGGGGAGGAGACACAAACAAGGGCAAGGAGCTGGGGTTGGGAATGGAAATGGAGCCCCAGATGGGGACCAAGGCTGGGAGCATTGTCGGGGCTGCAAATGGAGCCCTGGTCAGGTCTGAGGCTGGGGTTAGAACTAGAAATCATGACCGCAGCTACATGTGGGACAAGAGGCCCAGGTGCCATCTCATTCCCCCCCCCCAAATAGTCCCCCATGCTTCTCTGGAGAACAAGTTCCACAGTTTAGGGACCATTGTCATAAAGTTATCTGGTCAAAATGATACACACTATTCTTTCAATCTAAATATATTATTTGCCAGAGTCATATTCTAATGCTGAATCAAAGAGTGGTTAAATTGTAATGCAAAATACTGAATAAAGAAGTCTACTGTGAATTCTCTCTGATAACACCATCATTGTCCCAGAAAGTGTCTGCAGTTCAAAGATTGTAAAGAATTAGTAAACACCCAAATCTACATTTATTTTACATGCTTTATTTAATTAAGTGCTTTATATACAAATGAAATCAACAATGGCTTCCTTCAGTCTCACGATGGCTAGTGCTTTGATAAATAATTTGACTATTGTACCATTCACAGAAAAACTCCTGAATCTCTCTATCCCCCTTCCACCAAAATGCTAGCTCCAACAGCAGAAATCTTCCCTCATTCACAACAGATCCCTTCCATCCTCCACAGAATTATTATGCTGAGATACTATATTTCCCTATATACCGCATCACGAAATGTTGTTTTATTGAGAGCTCACTGAAGCCCTATCTATCTACACAGACACCATTAGCTGCAACATTAAAATGAAGACCTAAAAAAAGAAGGGCAATGATGAATAATGTATTGGACTAGTGCTGTGAACTACCATTGATTAATCTTTAAAGAGCATTTAGTACAGTAGGGGGAGAGAACCTTTTCTGGGTTGGGAGCCACTGATCCACATAAAAATCAGCTGGAGGCCACACACAAGTGAGAAGACAAAAAAAAACCCCAAAACCCCCAACATCTCATTGATGTGGCCCCTGACTGAGAAGGGGAAAGACACCCCCCATATTCCCTTCACACACCAGAACTAGTAGATACAAGGGGGCCCACACTAGTAGATTTTGTGTGCTCCGGCCCCACAGTGGGATGGCAAAGGGCTGGAGTGCCAGCACAGGTTCCACGATGCTGGGGGGAGTCCTGAGCCTTGGGGGCCACATTCAGTCAGGACGGGGGGCCACCTTCAAACCCCGGGCCTGAAGTTCCTCCCACCCCTGGTTTAGAAGATTCCAAGTACTATTTTAGTGATCTCCTCCAGAATTAATAGGTGGGATCAAAACCAGTGTTCCCTCTAAACTGAGAGAAGCACAGCTTCACCAAAAAGTCTTTGACAAGGTCCCTCGCCCAAAGGCTGTTATGTAAATTAAGTTGTCATGCGATAAGAGGGAAGATCCCCTCATGGACTGAGAACTAGTTAAAAGACAGGAAACAAAGGGTAGGAATAAATAGTAAATTTTCAGATTGGAGAGGGGTAACTAGTGGTGTTCCCCAAGTGTCAGTCCTAGGACCAATCCTATTCAATTTAGTCGTAAATGATCTGGAAAAAGGGGTAAACAGTGAGGTGGCAAAGTTTGCAGATGATACTAAACTGCTCAAGATAGTTAAGACCAAAGCAGACTGTGAAGAACTTTAAAAAGATCTCACAAAACTAAGTGATTGGGCAACAAAACGGCAAATGAAATTTAATGTGGATAAATGTAAAATAATGCACATTGGAAAAAATAACCCCAACTATACATACAATATGATGGAGGCTAATTTAGCTACAACTAATCAGGAAAGAGATCTTGGAGTCATCGTAGATAGCTTTTTTGAAGACATCCACGCAATGTGCGGCAGCAGTCAAAAAAGCAAACAGGATGTTAAGGAATAATTAAAAAAGGGATAGAGAATAAGACAGAGAATATCTTATTGCCCTTATATAAATCCATGGTACGCCCACATCTTGTATACTGCATACAGATGTAGTCTCAAAATCTCAAAAAAGATATATTGGCATTGGAAAAGGTTCAGAAAAGGGCAACAAAAATTATTAGGGGT